TCTTATGTCTTTTCTTCGATCTATGACGCAATATTTGTCGTGAAATGCTTGTAAAGGCATGGCGAAACAAAAGAAAAGCGCGTTACGAGCATCCAGATTTGAATGTTCTATACGTGTACTCCCACGATGCCAAACATGTCGCTGATTTATTCCAGTTCAGGGGCCAAAGAAAAGTTGGCTTGAAAGGGCTTCTTAGGATATTTGTCATGCCGAAAAATAAAGTTAAGACAAAATTGAATTAATTAATATTTTTCTGACACGCTTAGATTGACATATATGCTTATTTTCAAACCACTTCCTTAACGTTCATGTCTGTTTCCTCAAGCAGAGATTTATTTTAAAAAAAAAACAACAACAACAAAAAACAAACATCATTGTTCGCCGTTTACAGAAAAGTTGTTCAAATTATCTGTGGAGGCTTTTCACCTCGTCTTCCGTCATGTTGAAGCGAAGAAAGAGAAATAACCCGATTTTGAACTACCGTGTTAGACGTTTTGACCCATCCCACCAGGTCACATTGTTGGATAATGTTTTGTGGATGGTCATAGTTGGTTACGCAACTTGAAATTTTGTTTATAAAAGGCAATTGTTTGGGTTGTCTCTTGTCAACAAAGCCCACACACAAACATATATTTGATTTTATTCTAGCGCAAATTTGTCCTCTGACATTGATATAGCTTTTTTATCGATAGAAACTAACGTGGACAGCAATGACCGATGATGAAATCGCTCTCATTTGGAGCAAAGAAGATAGCATTTTTGTTCCACATGACATTTTTCTGCCCAGTGGGGAAAAATGAGGCGTGTGCTTTAGGCAATGGTGTTAAAAGGTAAAACGTTGTATAAACATCAAGTTGTATAAAACCTTGAACAAAGCAGAGTTTAATCTTTTGTACCAGCCGTGACATTTACCTGACGGAGGCAGAGAGTGTCGGCGCCATTCTGTAAGTGCTCGTGAGTGTTGAGCATGTTTTGTATCTTTTCCCTGCAGCTGTTTGTTCAAGGTGGTGGGTAGCCACCTTATTCAAAATTCAACAAAACGTCTCATTTGATAAAAGCCCTTTCATTACCCACTGCGCAGTTTGAAAGGTTCAGTGACTCATGTTGTCCCCATACTTTGTTCTAAATTCACGATTTATTTCGAAAGTATTAAACACATTGCTTTACTTACATTTAGCGTTTGGTATGTGACGTAACATAAAACCGTTTTCTATGTAATCGTATCTACACAATTGTGTTTTTTTCCTCCACAACTGAACATCGCATTCTTTTTCCCAAAGCTGCAGCAAGCCTTCCTGGTGTTTTGTTCATTTGTTCACAGATGGCGTTTGCTTCATTTTACAGCTTTTTATTACTTATTTCTTTATCCTGCGTCTTTATTTCTATTCTTCTGGCGTCTCTTGGTTGTTGAAGACCACGTATATTTTGTACTTAATGTCGCATTCCTTTTCAATATTTAGCCTACCAACTGAAGATCGATTAGCGTAGACACGATTTTGAATAGAGCATAATTTCCTTTTTTTCTGTTCAACTGTGCCGTGGTCTACTTGTCTGATATCTCACCAACCTCCCCCCACCCCCTTTTTTCCTTTGCACACGATATACATAGGAACAATAAATAGAAGGATAAAAAAAGAAAGTCCAATAGAGCTTTTCAGTAAGGAAATGAGAATTGCGTTTGTTTTCAGTTTTCAACATAAGTAATATGAAGCTAGATCTAAAAATTGCCTCATCGTTACACCAATAACAAAAACTTGTATCGAGTATGCAGTGTAAAACAATCAGGAAAAATAAAGAAAACAAATAGATAAACCTTGCTTAAGTTCGTTAAACAATAAACAAAAGAGAAAGACGTATGATGAATGTTTTAACAAAGAAACGGAGGCTTCTTTGGCTTGACGACAATTAGTAATATTCAAACGAGACTGAACTTGTGTCACCTCATAACTTAAGCATAGTATCAGCAGAGCATGTTAACTTCAAAGAGTTGTACATTGTCCAACAAACACTTTCATAAAAGAAACACAATAATGGAACTTGTGGCGTGGTGCAATGAGCACGTATTTTTACTTCCGATTTTGATCCCTTTTTAAAGGATGACACGAGGCCTGCAAACGATAAAACAAAAGGAAGTAAAAGTTTTGGGTTTTTGTTGTTGTTGCATTCACTATGTGTGGTAGTGTGGTAAAAGAGAAGGCCTATCTTTAATTTTACTTTGCTGAAACATCGAGCTTACATTCGTCCATCAGAAAAAAATTAGCGATTAGCTATAACAAAACGTAGACTCACATAATATGACCATATTTAGCGTACACGCACACTTATAACAACGTTATTTAAATAAGTATCGGACTCACAGACAAACAGAATGAAGTTAATAGTTCAAAACAAAATGTTCACATCGCTCTTAATTAAAATCATACTTCGTTCTCTTCCTAATGAGCTATTATTTCAAAGACCATCTGAAGACGCTGACGTGACGTTCGTTTGTGTTTTTAGTTTGAGTTAATCATTGGTAAACTTCTTCAATGTGATATTATTTCTAGGTTTGTCTCAAACAACAAACTTGCTTAGTAGAGTGCTCACAAAGGCTGAAGAGACTATTGAACATTTAAAATTACCATCAGAACAAAACAACTGTCAATTATATGGTTAGACTATTGCACGTTTAAACGTCAGGCAGTGATGCTTTATCCGACCATTATTCAAGGAGAAAAAAGGGGGAGGGGTGGTCTGGTAAGAATGGCTGAAAATTGGGTCAACATATCGTTTATGAGTTGTTTGCACTAATGATTACCTGAATGCATCCGAATCTAAATATATGGAAATCGAATCACATATTTTCGACTTTAGGGTCCATTTTCTCCGAATTGAGTTTTACATGGGCAGCACGCCATTTTCCGGACAGCATGTAACGAAAATCCTAAAATCTCAACTAAAATACCCGGGAGATTTGGATTTTGGCACAGTGATAGCTGATTCATATCATTTGTGGGCAACAGGCTAGTCACCTTTGTCTTTTCACTAACAGGGTGACTGGGTATTGATATCAGGTTGGGGGCCGGTGCGAAGGGTGTATTTTAAACACTTTTTTATACACTGAAACCCAAAATCATGTTATATCCATGAAAACACCCAAAATCAAAACAATAATGATCCCATTACTCCAACATATGTCCTGCCATTCCATTCCTTTTTTAACTAAGTAAAACGTCTTTGTTAGTGTTTGAGATTTTAGGAATTTAAAGACGAGTGTCAATTTACAAGATAGCCCTCAACCATGGCAGCAAGAGATACATGAAGTGAATGACACCAAAAATAATTTGGCACCTTAGCATTGAGTCTACTGTACAAAATTAAAATATTATTGGTTTGTAATTAAAATTAGAGAAAATCTCACCCCACCCGAGACACATGAGAGATAATCTGCGATACAAACATTTTACAAATACATGCACTCACATAAATACCCCCCCCACCCCCACCCCCCAACCACGCCCTTCCTTAATCACAATTTTATCATTATTATCAGCAAGGTTTTCTTTACATAGCTGTTTCATATACAATGACAGATAAACAAGACCCAGAAAGGCTAGGCGATTCTTAAAAAAAAAATTAATAGTGAAACACGCTGCGCTTGGACTGTCACGGAGAAGCCTCGTGAGTCGCAATTATTGGCCGGGACCGGGGTGCGTTGTGCAGTGGTTTGCATCTCCATTTCGCATACGTGATGCAGAGGGGAAAATATAATCAGAAATAAATCCTGATGGCACGCACCACACACAACCTGGGTAGGTTGTAGTACACAGGATCCAGTCCTCCATTATATCATCAAATCTGTGTCTGTGCAGGTGTAAATAAAACATAAAAAATAACCACAGAAGCAAGACCAATAATGTTATGCACCGGGAAGAGACGAAATAAATTTATAGACAAATCCAGAAGTAGCATACAGACAGAACGTAAGGAATCGTTTTCAAGTTATAAAAAAAACAACAACCGCCAAACAAAGATGTCATGGAAATTGAAGCTGATGAGGTAATACTTTAGAATATACGAATTGACGGCTGGTTTTCCAATTTTACTCTAGCTTTGAGACAGGAATGGAGCCTTGGATTTGCAAAAACAAGTTTTAACAGATTAAGAAAGCACCGCACAAAAACAAAATCAGTAGGCTGATGCCAAAATTGAGTTATTGCAAAATGTAGAGAACACTGTTAAAACAAATAACATTGTTAGGAATGCGAAAAAAAGTAAAAAAACACACATTGTATACATTTTATTACCTTTTCTAATAGTCTTACCAACTCTACCAAAAACTATGCCCCCCCCCCCCCCACGAAAAAGAATATAGAGATGAATAATTAATAAAACTGAAGTCTAATTTCTGAAGCTCTCTTTGTTGATTTATATTGCTTCGCAACATTACTTTCTTGTTAGGTCAAATTGAAGTAGATCTAGTTCGCTTTTTTTCTAGTTTTCAGTCATGAATTGTGAAGGTGTTTGGGGAAACTCCTAGTATCTCAATAGCAATCTTATCCTCCTTACCTGTAGACCAACATAATGCCGTGTTGTTTCCTTCTGTCCACTCAGTATACATTTTGGTGAATATATTATTCTTTTTGTACATTATTGTCAGAAATAAAATTCACAAAATGTACAGCTGATATCATTTTTGTCCTTGTTTGAGACAGACCAAGATATGAAACAACATCTTTACAATACATATATATTTACATTACTCATCAGCTGGTACAACTTAGCCAATGGCAAATAGATTATAAGCAATGATTCAGGTTTTTTTATTATATAAATGTGAATCTGATTTCATCATAAATTACAGTTTCAAGTTAACCTAGTTAAAAACAACACGCGTCCAACAAAACCCGTGAAACTAAATTATATATTATTATTATGTGTGCGTGCGTGAGCGTGTGCGCGCGCGTATATGTGTCTGTATGTGTGTGTATGTATGTGTGCGTGTGAGTGTGTGTGTGTGCGTGTGAGTGCGTGTGTGTGTGTGTATGTGTGTGTGTGTGTGTGTGTGTGTGTGTGTGTGTTTGTGTGAGGGCCGTAGGGTACAAACTCTCACAATATTACTTAAACTGAAGGTTGAAGGACGAAGGGTTGGGGCTAGACAAGTCCAGCTTTCAGTTTATGTTGTCAGTAACAGGGACCAGTTTGCTGAGATATCAAACGTATGTTGGCCAGCAGCATAACGCCGATGTCAGAGGTCTGCCAGTAAGAGCAGCAGACATTTACACCTTTTCCTTGATTTTGTTAACCGAACTGTTAGGCATGTACACTAAAAACAAGTGTACTTCATATCACATTCTTCAAATCCATAGAGTGTATCCAACATATTCCATGAAGAATTCCAGGCCTACTGTGAATAACTGCAAAGGATTTTGCAATTAATTTATGAACAAGTGCTAAGCAGCAATACTGGTCGTCTTATCATTCCAACATTGAGAAAGTTATCTTTACTTAAGAACGTCTTGAAGAAGCACATTTTAGCTAGTAGCTAGATTATGCTTGGTGTTACGATCAATATGATCAGAAAACTTACGATAATAACCAATCCAGGTTTTGTTTCAACGAATTGTAGAAAAAAATACACAGCTGTCATCCTTGTTACAGTCTTTTTGTACTATGAATAATGCAGTCAAGCTTGAGAAGTAGAGCTGACGTTTTGGACAGCGATTTATTCAAGCTCGACAGGACTCACATTCACTGCATATCGATTCCTTTAAGAGGGCAATGTATTTAAACAGTTGTGACGTACATGCTCTCAACATGCCACACCTTGGGGTCTTCTGTGTCTTCCACGACTTGCTCTGTCTCGTTGACCAGCGTCGATTGCCTTTTATTCCATAGCATAGACGTATCCGCAGACGATCCAAAAGTAAATCGGGGTGCAGTGGCAACGTCAGGACTAGTGATCTCAGGCCAGTCTCGGTTCTCGTGTTCCTCTCCCGGCGAGATGGCCGGAGAGTTGTCGTGACGATTGTGTTCTTCATATTGCCGTAGACGCGTTCGTCGTATAGGTCTCTGACATAAGCCCCCCATTTGTGGACACCATTGAATACCGCTCCTTGCCTCGCCTTTTCGAGACCAGCGCTGTAAGAAAGGGCAGCCGACCATGAAATGTCAACAAGAACATTACTTCTTTCCGGAAATGTTTACCAGTCAAGCAGTAGATGAAAAAGTAACACGCGTAATGCGAAAGACAAATCACTTCTATGACTTTTCGCACTTCAAGGTATGTGAACAAGTTCGACCAAGTGGAATCGTTGCGAATTTCTTCATCTGTCATTAAGGGATTCCCGTTGGGGAACGCCTGTTGCAGGCAACCGACAAGTGTTGCGCTCACCTGTGTGACGATGAGATAGAAAGAAACAGCGAGGAGCGTGAAAGTGGAGGCCGTGCTGTTCCCGCTCCGACTCTGTTGTCGCTTGACGAGGTCGTTTCGGGAGATCTTGAAGATTTCTCGCAACACGAGAATGTTGAAGACAAGCACGACCAGTGGAACGAGACCAAACGCAAAGACGTCCGTAGCCCAGCTCCAAATGTTCCAGAAACTCCATGCATTTCCTTCTGCAGCCTCGGGGCGAATGTTACAGGTTCCCTCGTGCTCGCTGTATGTCCAGATATACGCCTGGGCAGACGCAAGCGCCATGGAAAACACGATGAGAATAAAAACGATGACGATAGCTCGTCGTACTGTGCACCACTTCTCTTTCATGAACGGGTGGCACACAGCCACGTAGCGCTCTGCCGTGAAGCCAAGAACGAGAAAAGTGGACAAGTATTGAGGAACATAGAAGAGAAAGTGATATATTTCACAGCTAGTCGGGGCGTTGTACAAGTCGTGTCCCCAAGCTACATGCAGAATATGGAGAAGGTGAAGGAACAGGAACAGCATATCGGAGATGGACAATGCACCTAAGTAAATGGCGGATGAGTTGTTCCTGCGCATACGCTGGCCTAACCAGATGGTTGCCGAGATTGGATTTCCGATGAAGCCGATGAAGTACCAGAACGGAGGAACGATACGCTCTGCCATAGGACCAACGGGAGAAAACTCTTCCAAGATGGCGGTTCTGGAGGGGTAGCGCATCATGAGGTGAGACAGCGGCTCTGACGTGTTGTTCGCCATGATGGTTTCCTGTGGATGGACAGACAGACTTTTATAAGTTTGCATCATTGTGTATAAAGACAATGTACTTTCATAATAATTTCAGTTCCTTTGTCTTAGTACTTAGAAGTCTTAGCAACGCATTGTGTACTGTGTGACTACTTACACTTTGAAATCACAAGTCTCCTTGCGATCGAGACTCATGAAAACTTAGTTTAGTATAGACTAGATCTATGTTTCCGACAGATGCAAAGTTTGGAAACCTTCTGACGAACAACCGGTGAGTGAGTTAAAACGCTAATGTCCTACGTCATATGTTCATACTAGCGACTTTACCAACAACCGATATGAAAGAGCAATGGGTACAGGCATATAATAAATGTAGATCTTACAATATTATAAACAATTGTATTGGGTCCACAAACTGCTTCACTTGTCGGGGAGAGCCGAGTAAAAATGCTCCTCTGAGATATTTTCAATAATATTATTGTAAAAGTAAGGTGTTCCCCAAGTCCGTGCAAATTCTCAGGTGCGCTCTCGGCGATTTTAAGTACACTTTTTTTAGTTGCTCATAGAGAGGAGTGAACTATCGTGTAGTAAAGGACCACTGCTCAAACACTCAAAATGCTGAGCAAACAAACAGGCAAATACAGGTTCGTGACTATGATACGAATGACTAATGGGCAGATACCCTTGCATCTTTACGAGGGAACATGATAAGAACGCCTCATGCCACACAAGATCTCCCCCACGACAGCACCCACGACTTCCTCTACGTAACGAGCAAGTCTGAGATTAACGAGCTTGTCCATGCTATTTCGGGCACAGACACAAAGTACAGCACGGAACTTTCAGCTTTCTCTGTCTTGAGAGGTGTCAACCCTTTGTTGTCAGAGACGTCGTCTGGTCTGCTGTTTTCTACCGACCCCAAGGAGAAAAAGACTCACGATTGTAAAGTATAAAACATATTGAAAAGCGACTTAATGAGGCACAACCGTGAAGCAGACAACAATAAGCCATTAAATAACCTGTCCTGCTCTCAACACTTTAAAGTGTTTCAAATATTCTTGAAACAATCCGCGTCCGTTACTCTCTCTTGATGAGCACCTGCTTCTTTTACTCCTCTTTTTATCTCCTCTTCCTCCCTCCAAACCCCCTTTTTCTCTCTCCCTCTCTCTCTCTTTCTCTCTCTCTCTCTCTCTCTCTCTCTCTCTCTCTCTCTCTCTCTCTCTCTATCTCAACCATTACCTCTCTAATTATCTTCAACAAAAATAGTATGTTCTCAGCAGTGTGTCAGTGAGCTGGTTTGTCACGTGGTGGCTTTTAGCTACCAAACGCAACTTTCTGGAAGCTAACTTGAGTCTCGCTTTTTCTGCTCAAAATTTTTGATGCAAGATGCAAGCCGGGAACGAGAAGAGCCTTCCAGACTGGCAACCGGGGTTACGTTCAGAACGGATGAAGCCGTCACCCGCTCCCCATTTCGGATTCCCCAACTCACTCTCATCCACCACCCCCTAACCTCACACAAACACAATGTGCTACAGACAAATAAATAAACAAATGAACAAACATAGATCATTTTGATTACTCTGAAAATACGTAAAGTGTAGAAACTGAGTCTTCAAAGAAACGGCGTACATATCTTTGCAACATAACAGGGAGCGAAAAAGATGAAAAATCTCCATGACTCCTCCCAGGGAAGCACCGTGACATACGAGTACTTTCCCCCTAGGCTGTAAAATAGCAGATAAAGAAGCCAGACTGAAAGGAATTACAAGGTTTCCGATGCCGTACAATGACGTCAGAACTGAGGGTGAGTTGTTCCTCAGACTAACAGTGGCCTAAGCGGAGACAAACGCGACCCTCACACTCTACCGCTTCGGTCTGGTGGCTTTCGGGACTTCTAAGATGCTATCCTAATGAGGTTTCGGACAGTAAATCCCCGCAAATGGACCAAGTTGAAAAGAAAATAATTTTTATGGAGATGGGAGCAATGGAGAGACATTCTCTGGTTGGTCACGATAGAAGTAGAATAAAGGTGGTGGTAGAGTGAGGGGAAGACAAGTTATTTAGAGTACCCCAAAAAATGCCCGATTTCATTCAGGACGAAAATGACTTGGTGTGTGTGTATGTGTGTGTATGTGTGTGTGTGTGTGTGTGTGTGTGTGTGTTTGTATACGTTTGTGTGTGCATGGTCTTGGGTGTTAATGATTTTTTATGTGAATAACTGATCACAATTTTTTTCTTCTCTCTCCCCGGTTCAATAAATTATGAGTGTTGGAAAAAGCACCCCCCCCCTCCAAAAAAAAACAACACAAAAAAAAGAATGTTTACTGACGATGCATAACAATTCAATATTAATTAATACACCATGTCAACAACCCTTTGAAGTACTCTTACTTATTCAAAATACCAGACGGCAATGCTTCAAATGCGAGCAACAGGTCATATACGCTAATGGTCTTGTTTTATTAGAAAATTAATACACCAAACAAGGAAATAATTGTTATCTTCGGGAGTAATTTCTCGACGACACATACTTTTAGCGGGAAGGAACAAACATTTCTATACGTCCTGTTTTGGTAAAGCAAGGGAATCTGTGTCAAGGTTACAGTCTGTCCATGAACCATCGTGTTTTGACTGCCCAGCTCCAGATGTAATTGAGCGGAATTGATGGATTCTCCTCTTTTCTCCCTACCTTTCCATTCTCGTAAACATTGTTAACATGCTCAAGGCCAGGAGAGAAGTAAAAAACCACGTATTTTCACAAGCACCTAGTTGTAGATCTCCCACATTCCACTTTCACACCTCTGTGCTTCGAACGGAGACATAATCGCTTTGTTAAAGTCGTTGATGTCCCGTGTTTGGGGTCCTCGAAGTTCGCCTACGTTGACTTGATGAGTGAAGACGTCTTGAGGCCAGTAGTGAGTTCCCAGCCCTGAGAGTGAAGCCACGCAGTGACTTGTAATGTGATTAGGCTGGAGGGTTGCGAAACACGAAACTTGTCTCTCCTATCACCCTGGTCTGTACTTTCCTTATCTTGACCCTCCCATCTCGCCTTTGCTCTCAAATCAAATACAGCAGCGACGTCTGTTTAGACTGTAACGTCCCGAATCCATTCCCCTTTTATTCATGAATATTGGAATGTACCATAAAGGGGAGGGCGGTACTTCAAGGGGATTTTCCCTTCCCTGGATTGGTTTATTTCAAGGTAGGGAACGGCACGAGATGTGTTCATTGTCAAAGTTTCAAGATGATCGATCTCCTGATCGGTATGAAAAAGCTACCATCTTAAATTTTAGGTTAAATGTTCAAAAAGGCTAGCAAACACTAAACAGAATGATACTGAGATATAATGTACACACACACACAAACACGCACACACACACACACACACACACACACACACA